ACACACCGGACGCCGCGCACGCACCAGTCTCTCTCTCTCTCTCTCCAGATATTCCGAAGGCGTGTCCGTCGGTCCAGCAGCCGATCCTCTCCTCCAGTGGCCGAGGGAAAGAGGGTCGCGTCCACCTCGTTCCCGAACGATGACGATCCGAGAAAAAGGGTCGATGATCCTGCCGCGGGATTCGGGTATCCGTCGCGAACACAGAGACGATCGGTGTCGCGTCATATACATATACATATACATACACATATCGCCTCCCCCCTGTCTCTCTGTTTCTATATATATATACATATACATATATGTATATCACTTGTGACCACGCTGGGCTAGGAAGTACTCGATCTGTTGTAGACAGATCAGCTGCTGCATCAAGCTCTGCAGCGGGTCTTGGCCCTGAGATTGCGGGGCGGCGGCTGCGGCGGCGGCTGCTGCTGCGGCTGCGGCTGCCGCGGCGTGTTGACCTTGCTGGAGCGGCTGCGTCATGCCTCCACCAGTAGGCTGAGCAGCCGGCGGCAGCATCGTGCCTGCTGGACCCGACTGCTCGGCCAACAATTGCCGCTGGAGCTGTTGCGCCTGGTAGTGCGCCACCGCTACCAAGTCCGAGGATTCCATCCCCATGGAGGCGGCGGCGGCGGCAGCGGCCGCGGCGTGGCCCAGCTGCAGATGCTGTTCCGCGTGATGGCCCGGCAGGCCGGACTGGTGGCAGCCAGCCAACGACGGATGGACACCGACGTGCGACAACCTGCCGGCCCCGGAGCCAGCTGAGGCCAGATAGGCGCCGGGGAGGTTAGGGTTCTCGCCCCGCTAGGGAGCCACGTTCTTGGGCCTGCGCCCCCGTCGCCCCCTGGTGGGGGGGCGCGGGGACTCCTGGCCTCACTGGCTCACAGCGGGGCTCTTCTTGTCTTGTTGCTGTTGACTGGCGTCCTGCGATCCCTGTACACCACCCGACGCGCCTCCTTGTCCGCCTTGAACACCCTGCAACACGGTGCCCAAAAAAACACAGCCACTTTTAGCTACCTTTTGCTATCACTCTGCGTGCCTTTCTCGCAAGAGCAATCGCGTTCCGGGCAGTGCTCGGAACCTCTCGTCGGATTCCATCTTTTTGCGGCGGAGTATCTTAGAGTATACACCCGGGCTGTCCAACATCGTCCCGAGCTTTAACATGTTCGAGGTTCATTCGGGATTCATCTCTCCCTAACCCCCAGCGTCTGTTGTTCAACGGTGTTGAACCAACAGCAGGGACGCTTGGGTTCGAACGCCGGCTCATTGAGGCCTGTCTGTGCGTGCGGACGGATCAATGTTTGCTTTCACCCGTGTCTTTTTACTTAACATTTTCTTTCTCGGCAGCAATGCCCCCACCCGTGGACAGCACGGGTATACACCGCCTTAGCGGTTTCAGGAGACCGCCGGTATTGCCTGGAAAAGCAGAGTAGATCGTTTTAAAATGAGTGGATGCTTAGGGAGAGGTTAGACGAAGACAGTCAATAGCGTGATAGTAAAGTGCGGTGGACAGTGGTGATCTAGTTGTTAGTTGGGGTTTTGGGAAACTGTTACATATTCGGTCTCGAACTATTGACTTCTCCCTGAGAATCGCCTACTCTGCTTTGCCAAATACGTCGTTCAGACGGGTAGAAGGGTCAATTTACCTGACTACCAGGTCCTCCCTGTGGCGGGCCGGGACCGCGGTCTGGCGGCCAAGAGTTCCCCGGTGTCGGTTCCGAGTGGAACTGGTGGGGATGCGGGGGTGGTCCGCCCGACGTGTCGTGACTGTGCGGGTCCAGGCTATTCGTCGCGTCGTATTGCGTGTTCTCCAGCCTCGTGATCAACCGTTCGTCTTCCTCGCCGAAGTCGCCACCCATCAGAGATGGTTCACCCACGACCATTACGTCCTGGTCAATTGGAAAAGCAGGGGAACGTTAGGCGTGTCGGTCCGCCATTATTTTTTTATTATCTTACGAATTAGAAACTTTCTCTCCCTCCCTCCCTCTTTCTCTCTCTCTTTCTCTCTGCTAATTTAGCATTAGTTTGGGAAGTCAAGTGAGTCCATTTAAGATGAATCTAAAGGTTTCGATTAGGGGGACGGCTCTCAGGTCTGGTCGTCTTCTAATCCAGTGAAATCTTATTCCAATCACCGAGGACCAGATCTGAGGAGGTTCTTCTCTAGTCAAATAGGGGATGAATCTTCAAAGGTTTCACGAACAACTATTCCGCAGTGATTCTCACCTGCGACGCCAGAGAAAAATTAGGCCCTGGCGATCTCTTTTTGCTGGGCGCTGGAGGCGCGTTGTTCCCCGGCCCCGAGGTGCTGCCCTTTCGCTTTCTTCTTTTGCTGGCTGGCCTCTGGGACTCTGAAAGAACAGATCCGGCATGAGACCGGCGTGCCGGGCCGCGCGTTAACCAGCAGACGACGCTAGCCATGTAGCAGCGCGCTAAGAAACTTCAGACCGCTACCCAGCATATTGGACCTTTCTCCACAATCAAAGGTCTCTGACACACACAAGCATGCATGCATCGGTGGACAGACAGAATAGAATGTACACGTCTCTAAGACGAACACGTGTCGTTCGTCGTTCTCCATCAAAGCTACTTAAGAAAGGAGCCCGCACTCACGTAGAATCTTTACAGAGAAACACGCATCGCATACGACTGATCCGATTAAACGGCTCGGCTCGGCTCGGTTCCATGATTTCGTCGGCCTTGAACACGATCGGGAAAAACGTCGGCCGAAGGACAGAGAGGGGGTGGGGGGGCTGGAGAGGACCGAGGGAACAGGATAACGGTCGGAGGAAGAGCGGCGGCGCGGCGGTTGGAACAGGAAACGCGGTGCACGCATACGCATGATAAAAACGATAGATAGAAGCCCAGCGAGAGAAGAAGCGGTGAAGAGAGGTGTGCGCACGCAACGCGTCGACGATCCTGAAAAATCAAGGAATCGTGCTATCTGCCGGCGAGCATCGCCTCACGTGTCTGGTGGCCCCAGGATCGCGCGATCCCGGGGAAGCGCAAGCTTTTCGTGAGCGAAACGATTTCGTTCGGGAACGGTCTCGTGCTCGTCCCGCCAAGGTTGGGATGTTAATTTGCCATGGGAGATCACAGGGACGCGGGGAACGGGGTGGTCCAATCCGTGGCAAGGTTGATACGTGAATCTATTATGCAAACATCAAGTGAACGCTGTTTCTTCGTAACAACTTCACCATTGCAGACGACTAGTAAACTCTGTTAATTACTGTAAAGTCTATAATTATTGGCTAGATTTATTGTATTTATTCTACGATTTCCTTGGCAAGATATTTTAATAGAATTTTATGATACTGATATTGATAGTTCCTTTGAAATTAAGCTGTTCGTGAACGTAGGATATTCCGTATACCACATTGATCCTATGCAGAGATCCATCAACCCTTAAACCCACGCACAGAACAAAGCAAATGTCAGGGCATGATAGGTCAGGATAGAAGACAGGAGGTTCTAGCCGTGGAAAACGATTGGAACCGAGACTCGTGGCGCGACAACAAGTCGACGACGATTCTCCGTCGTTAGTCCCGATCAAAAACCAAATCCTGCGGTAGACTGGTCGGCCGTTTGGCTCCACTGGCTGGTGCTTCTCATGTAAAGCAACTGTTCGTCTACCTCTCTTACCCGGCGGGGCAACCATCCTCTGCCATTTCTGGAACAAGGTCGTCTTCAAACAGTCCCGCGGTGACAACGCGTACGCCTTGTGCCTCGACATCAGCTCCTGCATCGGCTCCAAGATCACGCATAACTGGAAAAATCAACGATACACCTCTGCGTTAATATTAAATCATTCACTTGTCATCTTGAGTATGGATGAAACATACACGATCGCTCCAGGAAACTCGGTTATCGATAGTAGATACACGAAGGCTTTATCATTCAGAAAAGTCTCTTATCGTTCAGCTAAACTTAAAATAGTCCCTCGAGTGGCTCGTGAATTTCGAGAACGACAATTTCAAGATTCAATTCACTTTTACCGCTACCGTGTACCATCAAAGGAACATAAGTTTCTGTTTAACAAGACAAATTCTCGTTTCCGACGAAATTTTACGGAATTTCTCCGGAAGATAGTATCGAAGAAGGATCTTCACGGGGAAGTCTCGTCGATTTCTCGAATTGGCCGTACCTGTACTATCGCGACACCTTGTAGGTCAACGAAAAAGCGTAACGACATCCGAGCACGCTCGTGTCTCGTCGTTGTGCACGATTGAAAGTCGAAATCAAAGGCGGAAGGGGCAGCGGGGTTCGGGGCGAAATGTTATTTAATGCGACGCGACTTCGACGTGCACCTTACGCGTGCTATTAATATGAAAATTATCGTATACGGCCGTGTACCGGTTGAAAATAAACTTCCTGAAATATATTCGGGTGGCGAGCGACGCCGTCACACGCTCGTAGCAAATTAAATTTGGTTTACGCTCGTCTTGTAATAAAACTGAAAATCATTTTATAACAGCATCACTGCTATCATTGCTGTTGGTATTATTATTATTTATTATTATTATTGTTATCGTTATTATCATTATTACTGTCGGTATTATTATTAAAATTATCATTATTATAATTACTATAATAATAATAATAATAATAATAATTATTATTATTATTATAAGAGCGCTATATCAGAGGAGCCTTTATGTTATTACGATGACAATTAAAGTAATCGATGCCGCGTGATTGGATGATACGAGGCAGAGAGCCGTTGGCCGGCGCAAAATTTTACGAAATTTCCCTCGATTTTAATTAATGGTCGCGTTAATATCCCCTGCCGACGCGACTCCTGATCGATTCGTTTCACCGTGTCCGTGAGCCCGTAATTATTTTCCAGCGCGAATCGACCGGAAAGAAAGCTCCCGTGAAGGACCCGCGAAATTTCGCGCGGGTCCACGAGAGAGCCGAAGGGAACCGAGGTCTGTCTGCGACTCGACTGACAGTGCCTGGCCCGGAAACAAGGCGTTTTCACGACAGCTTTCGATTAACGACACAACAATCGTTTCAGCGAGCAGAGAGCAGCGATACGCGCGAGTGAAAGCGCTTCCGAGCGTGCAAAGAAGGTGGATCGTAACCCGGATACGCGACCATACTTTCGCGAGCCGGTCTCCCCGCGACTCCTGGCCCATTTCGCCCTTCACGTTCACTGGACTACTCTACTAGCCTTTATTCTTCGCTCTCTATATCACGGATCGTTTAACCCTTCGAGGACGAAGATTTTTTGAAGTATACAAAACCAGTAGATTCTGCTAAATATATCGAATGCTTAAATAATCAGATAAAGGAACTGTGTACCGATTTCTTGCTGTTCGACTAGTTAAATCAATTGTTTGCAAGCTAGAATTAGAATCATGAAAGTTTGACCTCGACAAAATATCGACATTCGTCCGGAAAAGTTACTCGCCAACCGTTTTATCGAAGAAGATTTTTTGAAGTATACAAAACCAGAGGATTCTACTAAATTACGTATCGAATGTTTAAATAATCAGATAAACGAACTGTGTACTGATTTCCTGCTGTTTGACTAGTTAAATCAATCATTTGCAAGCTAGAATTAGAATCATGAAAGTTTGACCTCGACAAAATATCGACATTCGTCCGGGAAAAGTTACTAGCCAACCGTTTTATCGAAGAAACATCCTTGTAAATAGAATCATCGTTCATCCGTCGACAGTTCTGTGTTTTAATCGCGAGTCTATAAATTTAAGAGACAAAATTCTCGAGAATAAAAGGTTCGAAGATCAGGAAACGATGTCTTTCCCATTGAATATCGTTCAGTCGCGAACCGCGGAAGATTAATAGCTCCGTCGTACTTTTCTCGTCCGTCTCTCGCTCGTTACGATCGGAAGCATTTCCCCCAATCCGAGAAAAATCAACGCGTCCCGCAGCGTGCGCTCCGCAAACACGTATGTTAATCAATTTTCAATAAACCGACTCAAACGAAAATCTGGGCGCGCCGGCGTTTATAAACGGGCGTCGCCAAAAATCCGTTAAAACCGGATACGAGAGTGGCGCATATTACGGGTGTCTATGGGAGCAAACATTTAGCGATTTACAGGGGCGGGAATTAAACAGAAACTTATGGCTCGTTGAAAGCTTGATTAAACTCTATTCGAGTTTCGAATTTATTGTGTTATACAGGGATTTGCAGCGGAACGCGGCTGAAATCCGGGAGCCGGTCTATCGGCAAAAGTCACGAACAGATGAAATTACAGCAACACGGCCGGCCGTAAATTCGGCAAAAGTGACGCCTGGGTACTCACCCTAAGGTAATTCAGGGTGGAATTAGTGATACCCTGCCTGGTGATGTTCTTGCTGAGCTGCTCGAGCATCGTCGGGTCTTGTTGCATTCCGACCACGGTTCTAGGCACCAGCTCCTTGTGCGACCTCACCGACATGTGCCACGACTTTATCCTCATAAGGTCGTCGAAGGTGAATTCCAATATTAATCTACCCTCCGTGCATACCTGCGAGAGGAAGAACATTCAATCTGGCTGGTAAACTATACCGGAAACACGTCGAGATAGTAATTAACGCATCGGCGTAACGTTACGTCCACTTTAACCTATTCCACTATCACCTGGGAGAAAGCACTATGGGTAGCAATGTGGATTGTAGCCCTTTGCGGATGAAGATTCTTCGAAATGTACCTTCAATAGCGAGATTATCTATCAATTGCTTAACCCCTTGGCGTACTATTTACTCTCGTTACTAAGCTCGTGTAATATTTTACTATCGACAATTTGTAAGAAATAGAAAATTTTCCATTCTTCAGGTGGAAATTTCCTTTGAAGATAATACATTGGTAATAGCAAAATAGTTCTTTGCTTTGATCCGTGGGTAATGAACTACACTGATTCTTGTTAAATTAGTTTAGGAATCTCACGAGTCTCACTCGTCATTGTACGGCAAGGGGTTAATCAACAGAAAAAAGGGAAACTTAGGGCTGGTCTATTGCTTTAAGTAATTCAATCATTTGTGCGACTTAGTCTTCCGAATATGAACATTTCATCTAGATGTTCGTCCGCAAAGAGGTAGAAATCATTGTTATATGAAAATCTAGTTAGCGACCTTCTCTTTCGGTTGAACATGAATATATTCGAAGTTCTTTCTAAGAGGATTATGAATGAAAATTTTCTTATCTGCGTTCATTAGAGCTTCGGATATTAATCGACTTTCGATGGGAAGCTTGAGGAACGTGTCATTAAAAATTGAAAAATATTTCGCTGCGAACTGTTTAGTTCGATGATCAAGAAAAGTTGCTTGGATTTTAGACTAGAGCTAAGTATTCGACACGCTCCCTTCGAATATGAATTTCGCGCATTGTACTTCGCCGCGATTAAGTTCGAATTGACGCGATTCACTTCATTAAGGTGAACATCATTCGAAGGAAAGTATGCTCTCCGGGTTTCGTTGGATCACCCGCGAACCGCGAGTGTATTCAGGTTCAACCGAAAGGGGGTTGAAACGTTTCGAGGCGTAATTCCGCGGCCCTACGGTTATTAAATTCGAGCGGATAGTAATGATCGGTGATTCGAAGGAGCGACGGGGCTCGAGTGGTCTTGCAGCAGCAGCAGCGGCAGCAGCCGCGGGGGGCGAGGAGGGCCCACTCGACAGTTTATCAGAGTTTCAATAACGCGAGGCCCCGTGAGTGTTCGGCCCTTACCTTCGTGAACATCGGTTTCCCGTGATGCGTGACCATAACGCAGTGATCACAGTCGAGGGTTATGCTGGTATTGTGAAATGACTCCTTCGGGTGCTTCAAATTGTAGTAAAGTTCCGTCACTCCGCCCTCGAATATCGAGCGGAAGTACCTAGGTATTAACGTCCTGCCTATCGCTGTAAATCACAAAAAAGTTACAATTAAATCAGCGAACAGCCTCCCCCGCATCGTAAACATTTCAATTTCGACTCTACCCCGAATTTTCTGTCCACGATCTACGCAAAATTTTCATAAATCGGCAGTCGTTCAGATTGGAACAACGTTGCGATACTCGGTTGAAAGCAATTGTCAACGAAATGAAATACCTATTATACTCAAAGTTACATCAGTACAACGCTACACTGCCTATAATAAAAAGCTTTCACCCTAAGAACGCAATTATATACAAAAGCCGTCGTTCCAATCCAACCGATCGCAGAGATCGATGGAAAACCACCTTTACAACCGCAAGCATCCCCGATTCAGCAGGCCTCGCCGTGGAAAAAGGAACTCGAAAGAAAAGTCCCCAAATTGTCTCGTCAAAGTACTTCCCGCGGACGATTACCGGACAATAATCGGCGGATTCATTAAAGCCGACGCGATGCACCGACGGCGCAGCGCAGCGGTGTCTCGGTGTCGGCGCGCACCGGAAGCGGACGAGAGAGAAAACGTCGATAATGACACGGTGGATGGATAAACGGGAAGAAAGAGAGGCGGCGTGGAAAAAAACGGAGCAGGAAAATCGAGCGGGAGGTGGAGAAAAGAGCGAGCAATGCGTTGGCGCGCGGGTATAATGATAACGACGCCGGTTTCCAGGATCGGAAAATTCTACATTCAAGGACGACGTAGCGCGCTCGCGCGTTCCGAGCCCGCTGCGCATCTTATTGCATCGGAAATGTGCATCGCGCGTCGCTGTCGTTCGGCTGGGCCGCCGCCGCCGCCGCCGTCGACGACGACGACGGCGACGACGACGTCGACGACGCGATGTGACATGTAATCACGTTGTTACCGTGCATTCAGCGGCGCGAACGGAGAAGGGAACGCATTAAAATCCGCCGGCTGCAAAATTGCTCCGCGGTGGCACGTAATTATTTCGAATGCCCGTTTCCATGAGCCTCCGCGCGCGCGCCAGCTCGTAAATATCCGACCGCACCGAATCCCGGCCGCTGAAAAAAGGATTCCGGTTATTCGGGATGCTTACTGTATCTCTTGGGACCGTCCTCCAGGCAGAACGTGAGGGTTAGGGTCGCGTCGTCCTCGAAGAACTCGTTCGCGAATGCGTCCCACCAGAGGTTGTCGCTTTCCTGGAACAGAGAACACGCAGGTGACAGGTTAGGCGCGTGAGCGATACCAGCCGGGTGAAAGGTGAACGATAATTAGCGCGATCGATATATTTAACAGGTCATTGTGTCTGGGAACTGGCTCGTTCCTTTGCGAGCTCCGAGGGTGCTACTGTAGGTACGAATCGGATTAAAGGCTGCGCTGGCAGAGCTGAAGATACCGGTCGATTGGGTAGCAATTTTCTCCGCACCCAGTGAAATTATGTCTTTACTTCGAAACGGAGCGTTGTACTTTGTTGCTGGTGTAGCTGTGGTATCGTCGGATTCGATCCCTATGATCGAGCGTAGGGAATATTCTGTGTAGAGATCGTTGTTAACAATCTACCGTGTTAGTCGAAGTGTCTGGTTATCTCGTTTCGCAATGACTGATATCTTAGACGCACTGAATATTCGGAATGATTTCAGAAATAAAGTTTCACCGGAACATCCGAGGGAACTGATAATCTGTTACAATTTTCACAGGGATCGCGTATGAATCATTAACCCTTTGAACTCTGTAGGCTCCAATACTGCACCAGTTATAATGTGAAATATTTTAATGAATCTTAAAAAAACCAAAATTATTCTATTTTCCGCACATCCAAATTTTGTGCTAAGAAGGAAAATAAAAGATTGAAGAAATGTTATAGCATTCGTAATTTTCGCTGGGAATATTATAAAAATTAGTTGCAGTTGCTGACAGATTACAAAACAACCTGTAGTCCTGTTGCATCAAGAATCTCTAAACCTCCATACACTAGAACGTCGCTCTAAACAGCTGAACCGATCGCTGGAAAACTCTCGAATACAAGATTCGAGACATTTCCCCATTTCCCTAAACAAACGTGGAGGCGGCCGTACATCGGGAAACTCGCGGCGTAGCGCACGTTCACTGTCGCAGGCTCGATAGTTCGAGGTTATGAGTCAAGTGTCGCGCCAGAGGCATCATCGCGTTCTTACGATCTGTAAACAGTTGTCTGTAACGCGAGAGCGCGGTGTTCGCTTGCAACGATACCTGCGCGCGACTTCCCGTCCAGGATCGCGAGGACGCGAAACGTTTACGATCCATTGTCGCTAAAATGTTTCATTTTTTTCTCTTCTTCTTCTTCTTCTTCTTCTTCTTCTTCTTCTTCTCTTTGCCCCTCTTTCCCCTTCCTCACGCAACCCTTTCTGTCGCTCGCGCCGGTTGCCGAAGAAATTGAAACCGGCACGCGAGTT